AAATTCTAGTGTGGAGGATAAGATTAGATTTTTTATAGACATTCAAGTTTGTTCAATAATTAAAGTTCCTACAGTACACAAACAATAAATCTCAGAGTCCATACATAAAAGAAGACTGTGGTTCAGTCCAATATGAAATAAATATCAGAAGCTTTCACTCTACTCCATAGAGGGTATGTGGAACGCCAAGGCTTCCTAGAGCCCATTCACAATTATCTAAGCCAAGCATGCACAACTTTTTTCAAGCCAAAGGCCATACTTGGACTTTGAGCAGCATGCCAGAAACCATACGCCAAGCAACAGGTGTGCCCAGAAGGAAAAACTCAATTGGGCCAGGACAAAAATTAAAGTTGAAGTAATTTACATTTCAGTTTCAATGTAATTAATATTAAATACAGTCAACATAATTTTCCATGCATTTAATATTTTTCTTCTATTGTGCTTAAAGATTATAATTTGGTGAAATCATCTGGAGTAACTGTGTGGGTCATGACCAAGGCGATCTAACTACTGTTGTCTGACCAGGCCTACATCTAACTTTCATTCACTACCTATATGTCACATTAGAAAATGATTCCAAGAAATGTATAGATTTATTGTATTATAACCTGGCTGTCTGAAAACTACCATTAGGTTCAACCCATGTCATGATAAAAAAGCAATATATACAGTTTTCCATAAGACTGTACTTGATTCATATTTTTAGATCTGCATTACAACATATGATGCTTATTTTTATAGAATATAAATATATATGTCTTAATAAAAGAGGGGATAAGGACAAAGAGAACATATAAATAGCTATATTTACATAATTCCCAAAGAAAATGAAGGAACAGTTGCAAAAGATTTCTACTTCCCCTGAGAACAGAATCAGTTACATTTCTAACACTGAATTTTTAACCATTTTAAGAAAAAGGCACACACATTTATATTTTAAGAAAATACTATGAGGATTTTTTTTTTTTTTTTTAGTTTCAGAAATGCATGGTACATTGAAAAACAGCTACATCCCCTTGATTTCCAAGTATTAATATACAGCACTTGATTAGAAACCCTTCTCCTCTCACAGCTTTTTTTCCATAGAAAAGACTTGTTTATTCTCTACCATCATAGTTAGTGGAAAATAGGAGTCTTAATTGCTGTGAAACAGTTAGTTAGCCACTAAGGATTTACAATCTAAGGACTTATTTTTACTGTTTACTCATTAAATCGACTGGTTAACTCTTTGACTGACTTTTCAGATATAGAGTATTGTAAATTACAGTATAATGGTTTTATTACACACATATTGTTGGGGATACAGTTTCTGTCAGAACAATTTCTATCGTCATTTGACTAGACAGTTAAGATTTTAAATGCAAATTGAAAAACAATTTACAAAGGCGGTCTCCTGGAGTATATGAATTTTGCACTGCACTCTCCTTCATAACTGGAGGGAAAAAATCCCATTTTTTTTTTTTTAATTATGTTGAGAGTCTGGACTAGTGAATTTTGCATACCTTGGAATCGTAAATTCCCTGTAATGAATGTGAGAGTGAGAGAGAAATGCCAGGATCAAAGGAAGGGATTTGAATGGAAAACAATGTACAGGAAGAACTGAGAGTTTGAAATGAACAAAGGGATGATGACTCATAAACTGTCCAGTGATCAGCACTTTCATTGCACCTAAGAATCCACATTGAACAGATTTAAAAATCTGATCTTAGTCTGTTTTCATTTTTTTTTTAATCTTATCCTCAAAACTGTAAAACATAAATAACACAAGATTGATCAAGCTGGATGGGCTACTATCCTTCTGCTTGCCTAAATATGAGAAATTCAAGTACTGCTGTTAAATTTCAGCTCTAGCTCAAAATCTTTTTATTCATCTAATGCAGGAATATGAATGTTCCCATGTTTCAACATGCAACATTTTTAAACAGTACAATACCCAGAAAGCATTTGTAGTCCAATGTGCATTCCATTTCAGATTTGGACACACACTGGGTTTTGCCCTAGTATTTGATAAAGCAGAGGTACATGTGCAGAATCCTGCAATAACGACTACATTTCTACACCTGAATTCGCTGCCTGCCATCTTCCCTCCTTCACCCATTCAGTACAGTCGGCCTTACCGCTGTTTGTTGCATTTTCGTGACGGGCACAAGGAAAGGATGGCGAGGTTTCTTAAAAGCTAACAATCAAGAATGAACTGGTTCTTGGTGACTATATGCCATGAAAGTGAATTTGGGAATGAAAAAGGATACATAAGAGTAAATGCTGGAGTGTCTAGAGAGATGCAAGCATGTGAATAAATGTATACCTCTCTGTGCATGGAATGTTTGGACATATAGATAAATATATGCGGACAGGAGTGTATGGATGGACAAGGAAGAATGGGATAAGTAAAGTGTCACTCAGATCAAACTCAACTCCTGGTGATTACATGGATTTTTAATTTATTTTTATTTTTTTTTGGTCAAAAACACGGAAGGCTTCGCTATTGTGTTCTTCCTTTTTTTTTTTTTTTTAAATTTCCCAGTCCA